AGTTCTGGAAAAATATTCTTGAGACAGATGAAACCAACATCAACCTCTACCAGAATAATGGCAAGAAAAAAGTATGGAGAAATCATAGGAGAGCTCGTGATTTAAAGCACACCACACATCTGTAAAACATGGTGGAGGCAGTGTGATGGCTTGGGCCTGCATGGCTGCTGGTGGCACTGCAACACTTGTGTTGTAATACGACATGAGACAGATGCAGCCAAACTAAGTCTGAGGTTTTCAGAGAAAACCATCTAGTGATGTCCATGAGTTCAAGACTTCAGGCTGTCATTGCCAGCAAAGGGTTTTCAACCAAATATTAGAAATGAAAATTTTATTTTATTTTTATTTTAGTCCAATTACTTTTGAGCCCCTGAAATTAAGGAATAGTGTTTTAAAATGCTTTAGTTCCTATATTAATATTTTTGATGAATCCAGTGAAATATAGCTGAGAGTCTGTATCTGAGTGTTTTCATGAAAATTTAATTGTGGTAATGTAGAGATCCAAAATGAGAAAAATGTCATCTCTGTCCAAATTAATACCTAACTGTTAGAATGAGTCCATTTACCAGTACATTTACAACAATGGTTCAATTTACCTAACCTTTCTGAAGTCACTGGATAGGGTATTCGAGGGTGCCCCCATCTGTGGACTAAATTATGCTACAAGCAATTTCAACAGTCGTTTAGGCAATGGCGTTGAGACCGGGGGCATATTGCACATTTAAACTCCGATGAATGTATGAGAGCATCGTGGGGTTAGTATCTGTCATGGTCCTGGGTCGGATACCCAGCGCTTTTAATAAACAGTTATTTATAGAAGAAACGGACAAAAACCATACTTAGAGTCTGCAACAAATGGTAATGTCATCGCCACTGGTTTTGGCTCCAGGGCTTTGAAGTACTTGGAGATTTGGGATCTATTTTTATTATTCATCCACCTTAGCATGTTGACGGGGTCCGTGTGCCCTATGATCCCAGGATGCATGTGATCATGGGTATTTGCCCTTGATAGGGTCTCCCAAGGCAAACTGGTCATGGGTGACACCTGGACCAGGTGACCCTTAATCCTCCCTTAGTTATGCTGCAATAGACGTAGGCTGCCGGGGATTCCCATGATGCATTGAGTTTTTCCTTTCCAGTCACCTTTCTCACTCACTA